TTTTTGTATTAGTTTTAATGTCTATGTATATATCAGTACACTTTTTTTATCTTGTTTTAATAAAAAAAAGAGGTTTGTCCTGATAGTATTAGAATCTGCCGCACTGTCTGCCGTCTTAAATAGCGAACCCAGAATGAGACGCCTATGTGATTAAAACCAATTATTTGAACGCGATTAAAATGTCCGGTCTTTATTTATAATACAATATCCCCTAATAGCTAGTCGGTCGATATTTATAGTTACTTAAAGGTTTCTGTAATAATTTGCACTAATTCAATCTCTAGTCGGTAGGTAACAGCACCTCCTTGATTGAATCTAAAGTGACATAATTTGGTTCAGAAATTCCTAGGAGACGCTGTCCTTAAGTGCCGATTTCATAATCAATATTAAAATGTCAATTAACTAATGGTCCCATTAGTTATTGGACCTATTAATATTCATTATGAAATCGGGCCTTGATAAAATTGTAAATATAGATTACATCTCAAACATGTAATCATATTGTTTTTCGTTTTTGTTATGATTTTTTTTAGTTCCAATCCCCCTTAGTCCTCCATTTTTAATCAGATTTTATTAAAAATCAATAGGCGTGACATCGGAAGGACGGACATTTTTAAAAGTTGTTTAAAATTTGTTGAGAAGGACTTTGGTACAACATTTTTTTAAATTTGGATGAATATTAAAAATGTTGGTTTCTTGAAAGTAAACCTATAATACAGACTACTGTGTGAAGAGTATAATATTTGTTTTTCCAAAATAAAAAAAAGATTGCTTTCACCGGGAATTGGACCACGGTCGCAAAATGCATGATGAAATGGCTGAATGCTTAATGTATCATTTGGGAATTCGGTTCCGCGTAAGGCGACCGAAATGCGTCTCTTTACGTCTGAATCACATGTAATTATATGAAGCACATTTGGGACCGAGCGACCAATGCAAGAGACTGCGACAGCACTTTCAACACGTAACGTAAGTGCATCGGTCGTTTGTCGCGGTCACTTGTATCGGTTTCGTGTTCCCAAATTGTACCTTTAATCATGTGAGTCATCGAGACATCTCAAGTAATTTATCTGATCAAAATATATAGGTATTGTAAATTTCAACAAAAAATTACAAATTTGAAGGCGTCTGACAGCCCTTTAGCAGAGATCTAGCAATTTGACGATTTGCATATTTCACATGTGACTTTCAAAGAGGTGATAATATTTACATTTTCAGCCTAAGGTACAATCGTTTTTTTTTAGCCGAAATTTTTACACAATTTTGAATTGTCTGACGTCTCCTTATGTCCATATTATTATAGTTTATTTGAAAATGTATGGTAGCACAGTTTTTATGGCAAATGTCTATACACAGGATTGTTCAAAGCAGAAATAAAGTAAATATTGATACCTTATCTGAATTTTCAGTGGATTTTAGTATGACCATCCCGAAAAACCTCGAATATAATACATATAAAATGTAAATGAGCAAACTAAGGGATTAACCAATAATTCTATACCTCAGTGACGGGAAACACGAAATTACTTTAATATAAAAAATAGTAAACTGTTAATATTAAGTACTCACATTTATTTTTTTTAAAATAGTATACTAGATATTAGGTTAGGTCATTTCCTTAAAATTTAATAACAAATACACAACCAAATTAATGATGTATTAAAAAAAAATCTTTGCAAAAAATCTTTTCTCATAAAACACTTATATTTCGTTTTTAGAAACACGGGGCGATTCCATATAAATTTGTTTGTATTTGGGATACTAGCGTCATATAAACTTATTATAATTAATATAAATGTAAAGGCCATATCAGAATTATGAAAGCAAAAATCTGCAGAAAAGCTGTTCAAGAAAGGCTGGAGAAAGGAACCAGCTATAAAAATCTGGAGATTAAATACGGAATACCTAAAAATACAATAAATCAGCATGTGAAAAATAGGAATGTGAAAAAACCTGGTGGACAATTAGCCATAACGAACGTTGAAGAAAACAAAATTGTTAGTTCTTTGATGTGTCTTGCCGATTAGGGATTCCCATTAGAACCAATGGACGTGCGTATTTTGGTGAAACAGTATTATGATAAAAGGGGTGTAAGCATCAGAAGATTTACCAATAACTTGCCAGGGCCGGACTGGATATCTTTTCTGATTCGCCACAAAAATAATTTAGCATTGAGACTTTTGAAGAATATAAAACGAGCAAGGGCTGCAGTTTATAGACAATCAAATCATATTTTGATGAATTGAACACATCTTTAGAAAATGTTCCTCCTTCGCATATTGTTAATTACGACGAGACAAACTTTACTGATGACCCTGGCCGTCAGCGAGTCGTAATTCGTAGGTCCAGCAAACATGCAGACCGTATTCTTGCCATCAACGGATCTGGTGAAATGTTACCTCCGTATGTGGTATTCAAATCAGAGCATTTTATCAAAACTGGGTGAAAGATGGACTACAGGGCACTAGATATGGAAATACTAAGAGTGAATGGTTCGATTCGAACCAATTTGAAAAATGGTTTTTAACAATAGCATTAGCTTACTTCAGAAGACTTCAAGGGCCGAACGTTGGTATTGGTGACAATCTGGTAAGCCATGTCTCCCAAAATGTCGTCATGGAATGTCAAAAAAATAACATCAGATTCGTTTTAATTCCTCCAAACAGCACGCATGTCACACAACCGCTTGACACTGCATTTTTCAAGCCTGTTAAGCAATCGTGGAGAAAAACTCTGGGAGAGTGGAAGAAGAAAAATAGAGGAGTTATCCCAAAACCAGAATTTCCAGGATAATTGAGAAAAGTTTTGTTAAATATTGCAGACAAATTGGAAGATAACATTAAGGCTGGTTTTCGTGGTTGTGGCATTATTCCACTTGACAGAGAACAAGTTTTGGAGCGTTTACCTCCAGAAATTGTCAACGAAGAAGAATCTCAGAAGACTTGGACTGAAACATTGACTGATTTTCTGAAAACCCAGCGAAACTCACAAATCCCCACAAAGAAGGCAAAAGGAAAGAAAATTCCCGTATCACCTGGTAAAAGTGTGGTGTACCAATCAATAATATCTGATTCTGAGCCCAAAAATGATTCGGAATCTGATGGCAGCGAAATTTCCGAAGAAAATATAAACAACACCGAATCAGAGGGAGAAGCAAGAAAATCACCAAATGTAGAAAGAGACGGAGAAAAACCAGGCGTGAAAGATTTGGAAACAGAAGACTTTGTCATTGCAAAATTTACAGAGGGAAAGTTTTCTAGGAATTTTGTAGGTAAAATTTTAGGAAACAATGATGGACAACTGTGCATTACATTTTTAAGAGAAAACTCTAAAGTGGAAAATACCTTCATTTTTCCACAGGTCCCTGATGAATATGTTGTGGATATCTCTCAAATTCTTAAGAAACTTCCACAACCAGTGCAACTTCGGAGAGGGGGGTGTCAAATTTCCATGTTATGTAAATATGAAAAATTGATAAAAAATTGAAAAACTGGGTAGACGATAAGTTTATAACGAAAAAATTGTTTTTACTGTATTTGATCTCAATAAAAATTATTCTTGAGATGTATTTTCATCATTTTCTAAGATTTTCAATGATAATAAGTAGATAAATGCATTGTTTAAAATGTGATTTTTGTTCCATCTCAACCAGAGTAGGTGAGACAATGTTTTCACTGCAGAATAAACGCATGTCCTGAGTAACCCCACAGACGGGGTGAATCGGGACACTTTTTGAATTTAAAAAAATATTTATAATTCATTTTTTTCTACTATCTTGTGAACGTGTTGCGAAAATATGTAGAAAGATGATAGTACCTGTAATTTTCATATAGAATTATACTAACGTGAATTATTTACACTGTCAATTCCGTCCTTAGTCACCCCGTTTGACGGTACTTGCTGACTAATTGATGTTTTTTTCTTGTTCTTTTATTATGTTTTGTATAGTTGACATATAAGTGTACTGTATACTTATGTATTTTTTATTTTATTTTAAATGTGAAGATGTATTGACATGTAAAAAATAGTTTTTTTTTTGACCAAATAAACGATTTAATGTCTACTAAAAGTTTATCCAAAGTAGATATCTTTTATTGTAAATAAAACGAATGCACTTTTCTTCGGATCAGTTGTTTTAATGGGTTTTCTCCCAGTTGACGTTTTAAGTGCTACTGTAATACTTCCATCCTTTCGTTGCTTCAAAAGTCTATAAATGATTGCTTCTCCAACTCCGGTAATATTTGAATACTTAGAAACTATACTCGGAACAGTACAATTGAAATGTTCATGTGCAAGAGCGTCATGTACATATAACACTAAAGTTTTCATATGCACGGTTAAATTGCACTATAATTTCACAGGAGTATAATTAGACGTTTGTGTCATTTTTATTGCACAAATTCATTTGATTAATATCGCTTTTTATTCGCCTTTTATTACAGAACTAACAATTATGCGTGTTACAATCACATGACTATACAAACAGAAATGTAAATCTTAACTAAAATAATTTACAATCTGCATAACACTTTCTGCCGATTAGAAATTTTAATCCTTTCCAAGAAAGTTGAGGGCAATTTAAATTGATCTTGAATTGTAAATATTTTCTACCTGTACAGATTACATACTTACCTTATTTTTATTGATTAAATTGGCTAGAAAATTAAAGCCAAGAATTGAAATAAATTGGTATTTTTAAAAATTTTAGGAAGAAAACCAACGATTTTATTTTGGAACAAATAATGCTAAAGGTTTTTTTTTTAGAAATTCTCCGTCACTGATTTATGCTGTTATATTGGGGTTTATCTCCTTAGTCATAAAATTTTTGCTATCAATCGTTTTAAAATAGACTATAGAAGAAAAGTGTTGAAAATGATATAAAAACATTAACATTAGTAAAAACTGAAGTAAATAAAATTGTTAATTGTATCAAATTTTCGAGTAGACGGTATAAGTCAAGTTCATTTTTGAATTATAAAAATTAAAATAATTATAAATACCTGTGTATTCTTTTCCGTCTGAAAAGCTTTTATTAATTCATTGAGTGAGCTAACAATAAAGGAATCTTCACTAATGTAGAAAGAAAATGATCTGTCATCCTGAGTGTATCTATAAAAAAGTAATTTTAATTATAATTAATTACACAAAATATTTCGCACACAAGTTGTAACGCTACAACTTCATGTGAATTAACGTTTATTTACTATAGTGATTATTGAATTGTAAAAAAAACTATATTATTATTTACTTTATAATATAACAATTTCTGGTTGAAAATTTTTAAAAATCCATATCAAATTTTAATTTTTTATAAATAATTTTAATTCAACAAATTAAATACCTTCTGGGCATATGACTAGGTTCAATAGCTCCAAGCTCACCAAACACATCTCCACAAGCTAATTTTAGAGTTTCATCCTTTTCTCTACAACCAAGAGTGAGTATATCAATAAGTTCGACGATGGTGGGATCCATTCCATTATAATCTAAAATCATTTGATCTAACTCTTCTCTACTTTGTTCCAAAAAAGTTTTTAGTGTTTTCAGGCCTTGAATTCTTACTTCCATTGCTTCATGGGTGAGATATTTTAAGAATCTCTGAATTTTTTGTTTTAGTGAATTGTTTTCCAATAACCTTAATTGGTTTCTTATAACCAGCAGAATCTCATGATTAATTTGGGTATTGTTTACAAAGAATAAATCAGGTATGTAGTTTTTCATGTGCCTTTCATTTTCTACGATAAGATAGTTGAAGATACTGTTTATTTCGTTGGGACAACTTTCGATTAAAGGTAATATAGAGGCAGATATCGCTGCTAGATGTGGACCAAGGCATTCTATTTCACAACTTCTTATGAAAGCATCCCAAACCGCACATGTTAGGTGTGGAAAACTTTCATAATTTATTGTTTGGAGCATGGCAATTATTTTGAAACGCAAAGGCACGATGTGTTTTGGACCCATAAACCTAAAAATATTGCATTCAGATACTTTTATTTTGTATTTATTCTGTTCAAAAGAATTTTTCTACATCATTTGATCAAAAATAAAGTTAAAACAGAAACAAAAAAGCGCACTGAAAAAAAAATCAATATCATCTAATTCACAATATGAGAAAGATCTTTCAAGATAGAAAATAAAAATAATAGTTTGACATGTGATATGGAATATTTAATAATTTAAATTAACTTACTTCAATAAATCAGCCAAACTAAGAAGAAACTTATCTTTTCGTAAATTTTTTGATATCAATTTTACATCAAAATAGAGCAAAACACCTAGAAAATGCGAATGGAGGTAGTCTTGAATAGAAATTCCTTTATTTTCAGGGTCTTCATTAGAAAGTAATGTTAAAGCTAGTAGAACTTTCTTATTTTTCTCATGGAAGTTCAGTAACAATTCATTCAAAATTATCTAAAAATAAATATATACTGTAGTTAAATTTACATTTGGGTGAGGTTAATGAGAACATGACATGTCAATAAGAAATTTAAACTCATTATAACGTGCCGGCGTATCGATGTTTATTTTACCCCTTCATTAAGATTTATTAAATTTGCCGAAAAAGTTAAAATAATACATATTAAAATCTAAGACTATCTTTAAGGACTATATAAAAGACATCCTATTTAAATTGAATAATTTTACTATTTATTTATTCATTCACGGGCCTTGCCCACTTTCAGTACAAAGTTACGAATACAAACAAAAAAATCTTCAAATAGAGTCAATCTAAATAATATGACATAATTAATGATAAACTAATAAACTAACAACAAAAATCATAAATATATTAACATGTACAAAATCGAAACAATTAATATTAAGACTAGGGAATTTAAGTCACAGTAAGTTTTAACATCCTCACAAAATTAGAAAAGCTTGAAATAAAATATTCTAGACTATCAGCACAAGCATTAGCGCTTCCTGAAACTCTAGGCATGAGTGAATTGATGCCAGTATTAGTTCTCATGTAGGGCTGATGAAAACTGTTTATTGATCTTGTGCTTCTAGTTGGAGCTGCCAACAACAGGCTTGAAATCAATGTAGAGTCAACCATATAATTAATGAGCTTAAAAAATAATTTCAGATCTGTCTGATCTCTTCTTATTCTCAAAGTTAGTAAGGGGAATGTCTCTTGCAGTGCCGCATCTATCCGTGGAATATTTAATTTGTTAGGTAGCGAAAAAAATGTCTCTGAACCTGTTCTAATCTATGAATGTGACAAGTATACTGGGGGTATCAGATTGAAGAGAGCAATATTCTAGCAGAGGCCTAACAAGACTACAGTACAATAACCTGATAGCATTAATACTTGTAAAGTCTGATGTGTTTCTCTTTATAAACCCAAGCATACCAAGTGCTCTGGGTACTATTGTGTCAATGTGATTGACAAATGAGAGCGTGAAGTCCATAATAACACCCAGATCTCGAATGGATGCAACTTGGGACACTGGTGTACCCTTGATATTATATTTATAATCAATCCTGTTGATCTTCCTAGGATAACGAGTGATACTTAGTGCTGTTTAGGTCCATAGCATTATTCACACACCACTCATCAAGCCTAGCCAGATCAGACTGAAGTTTGAGACAATCCTCAAGAGATGAAACTGCTAGGTAGCACTTTAGGTCATCAGCAAAGCATACAAATTTGGCAAACTTGAAACATTCTGAGATATCATTTATAAATAATAAAAATAACAAAGGTCTCAAATGGGACCCTTGGGGACTCCAGATGGATTGGGAATGTTATTAGATATGTAATTATTCAATTTAACAGTTTGAACTGTTTCAGATAAATAACTCGCCAGCCATTGCAATAATGTTCCCATGATCCCAGCAGTCTCCAGTTTATTTAACAAAAGTTTGTAATTGACCCTGTCGAACGCATTGGAAAAGTCTGTGTATATGGCATGCACCTCACCACCTCCATCCAAGACGTCCGACAGGTAGTCAACAAAAGCAAGCAAATTCAGTTCTGCAGATTTTTTGCTAAGAAACCCAAATTGTTCTTATATTATTGATAAACTTAATATAGATCTTAAGTAATCAGCTCTCTTTTCAAACAACTTTGGAATGTAACTAAGATTACAGATGGGTCTGTAGTTGGATATATCTGCTCTGTTACCAGACTTGAAAATAGGTGTAAGATAATTCACTTTCCAAAAATCTGGGAATATGCCCGAAGCAAGAGACTTATTAAATATAATGTGAAGTGGCCGCGAGAGAACAAAACTACAAAATCTGAGAACAGAAGGGGGATACCATCAGGTCCTGGTCCCTTGGTAATGTCAATACTAGCCATCTCTTCATAAATGGTTGATTCGCAATTACCTATCTTACCTATCTCAATCAGGTAAAAATACTACCGTGTTTTCTGTTATAGAGAAATTATCCAAAGCTTTTGACTGTGTAAGTTACAAAATATTGCTGAGCAAGCTTGAAAAATATGGATTCAGAGGAATAGCTCTAGTGGTTCCAGTCTTATTTGGAGACTAGAGTACAAAGAGTTTCTTTTAATAAGCAAACGTCAACGCTTCAACGACTCACTGTGGGGTTTCTCAAGGATCCGTTCTGGGACCGGTTTTATATTTAATTGTTAATATTATTAATCTCAATATTAATGGATACTTCGCCATATTTGCATATGATACGATAATCTTGGAGAGTGAAAATATTGAAGAGTTGTCTAATATGATTAACAACATTATTAGGATTAAAGAATTGTGTAATTCAAATTATTTATCTCTTATTTAGTGGCGATATCGGTATAATTTGAGTTGGACAGCAACAAAGTTGCAAAAAAAAAACGAAAATAAATTCTACGGCTTATTCATTGACCAGAAATTAAATTTGAAATCATGTTAATAGTTTTTGTAAGAAGCTGTCCTCTAGATGTTTTGCAGTAAGGATGATGCATACAACTTAGATATTTCGGTTGCAAGGTGTGTATACTTTTCAATGGTAGAATCCATTCTGCGATATGATATAAGCTTCAGGGGAACATGTTCTTCCGAGTTATTCCATGAGTGTTTGTCTTACAGAAGAAGGCCATAAGACATGTGCAAAGTTGAGGCTGGTGTTTCTTGTAAACCATTATCCATTATGTATTAGGCACAATATACTAACACTCGTCTGTTTATTTTTAAACTTTCTTTGCCTATAACCTCTTTCGGTTTGGTACATTGCTCTATTGTGTATAACTGGAAGATGTTTAACCACCCAAAAAGCAAGTTAAGAAACTCTTGCTCGAAAATAAGGCCTACTACAAATTACAGGGTGTCTGTAAAAGGTCTTTATAAAAACATACCACATATTCCTTAGACCAAAATAAGTCGATTTAAGTAAAATTACCTTAGTACAAAGTTGCTTCGTTTGGGCTCCAGACGACCTTGAAGTTACAATGTTTAAATCGTTTTTCCCATATAAATTTAAAACGGCATATGCGATTTTGCTGAAATTTGGTATACTTATTAGTAGAGTTTTATGTGGCAAAAAAATGGTATTAAAATTTTGTCCGATAATAATACATAGGCGTAGAACTTGATTTTTTAAATAATTGCACCTTTAAAAATTTTACGCCAATGGAAGAAAAGGAGTTTGAGTATGAAATTTAGATTGCGCAACTCATTTACTTTAAAAAAGGTACTCTTGATAAGACTCGATTACTCTCATGGTTTTGACGAAATTTGCATTTTAGTAATTTTAGAACATAAACAATAATTATTAGGAATATGTGGTATGTTTTTGTAAAGACCTTTTACAGACACCCTGTATATATTTTTTCTACACCTACATGGATATTAGCTTATCTTCGCACAGACTACAAAACGAAAAAGTATGCTATTGCATTCAACTGAACGAATATATTTCATATCCATTCTAGATAGTGAGAACACTGCACAAAAATTAAATCCACCAACCACAGTTCATATTTTGGTCACCCAACTACTACTATTTTAAATAAGTGACAATTCTGTCAAACCAATTGTCAGTACGTTATAGTTATTGAGATTAAATATACATTAAAATGAGTTATTCTTGTGTAGAATCGATAAATAATAGAATTTATTTTTTTGTTTCGTCCACATTTTGAAATAAATTTATAATTTTAATCAAACTATATGAAACTAATTTAATTACGAGTATTAGAACTAAAATTCCAAATCTGGCAGTAAGGAGACGATGTCTGTCTTCCATGCGAGAGACCTGAGTTCGATTCTCGGCTGGAGATTCGTAATACTAATTTTTGCTTTAAGTTTTTTATTTTATTATACAAATTGGGTCGTAGAAAAAATGTACTGTACAACTCGATTTGATTATCCATATCCACTATTATTGCACAATCTACTATTCCGATTGTTATATTTGTAATTGGTGTTGTGCATAAGCATTTTTGTTTTTATTCGACATTAGAAATAATTTTTTTTTTTAAACAAAATTTTAATTTATGAAAATTTTATGTTTGTTTCTTTTTCTTTGAATATTAATTTTTTGTTTTTAACTTTCTTATATTATTATGTTATTTATCTTTGTTAATAAGAATGACTTGACTTTATGTGCACATTACGATTTGACAATGAACAGTACTTTAGAAATTTTAATATGTACCGTCATGTTCATTTATTATTAAAAAAGAGATTTCCAAAAATATAGATATAATGGGATAAATTGAGACAGAGAATGGCTTCCATTTTCCATTTTCAGTATGCTATGATGGAATTCCTGATAATTTTGCAAAATTGGGGCAGATAATCTAAAACGCATTTAATATTGCATCCGAAACGCAACCGAAATTCGAGAGACGCTAAAATGGTGGTTCCCACCTTAGCGAGACTGAGGCCCACGAGGGTAAACTCGTATCGTAACAAAAACGAGAAATGATTTAACTTAGAACGAAAGACCGAAAGCCGATAGTAGTATTAGGACGTTGAATTTTTTGGTTTGTGAAGCATTGGCATTAATTAGGTTAAACTATGTGATGATTTTCACAAGCCTTGATTTTTAAAACCATTCTATATCGCCTTTTGATTAGGGTTTACAAACTTGTTTGAGCAATTTATCCAATAATAATTGACCCCTTTACCTCTTAAGACTGGTCATGTAAAATATTTGGGCTCCTTACTTCGCCTATTTATATAATATTAATTAAGGACAGAAGGATGAGTATTGCAACTATGTTAAAAGAAATAAATTGGCTTTCAGTTCAGAATTATGTTCAGTACATGACTGTTATTTATTTATAAAATAAAAATGACATAGTACCATCGCATCAGATCTATTAGAAAAAATTCAATATAATTCGCAATATCACAACTATAATACAAGAAGCCAATATGACTTTCATGCACGGTAAGCCATCACTAAAAGTTCCCAAAATACAATTTTTATTTAAGGTTTAAAACATTTAA